GATGCATATACATGTATGTTTTAAAAATGCTCCAAAATTAGGTTAAAGTCCCTGTACTATAGTACAGTGACTTTGCTCAAATTTTGCCAAAATTTAAAAGGAGAAGAAACCTCATTTTTATTACATTTCCTGATGCATATACATGTACTTATGTTGTGTAGAAAGTGTGAACTAATATAAATTATTTCTTAGTATGAGTGTTCAAGGATCATTATTGAATCAGTCTTTTAATGAAGAGGCTGAGATGAAACTGATGACCGTCTTAAGGTGTTTGGAAGAACTAATCATGAGCATTGAAAAGTAATTAACTAATAATTAATTAATTATATTATATTATATTATATTATATTAAGTTTATTAAATCAAGGTATGCTGCTACCACTAGTTAAGCTGATCTATCAGTCGTTAGTTAATTATATTAATAATGTTTTATTAATTATTAATATTCAATTAACTGAAGCTCAATTAATTGATTTGTGCCAAGTACAAGTTACATCAGTTGTGTAAGTATTTAATTATTCATTATTATTATTATTATTTATTACTATTTTTAGTAATATATTCCGACAGTCTCTTGACTTCATGATTGGAGGCAGGTATCAATTATTACAGTTATACCATCAAGCAGCTGCCACTAATTTATCTTAACTATTACATGTGGTAATTCTTTGTTAATAATAATAATAGATAAAGTGTATATTATATAAATGATAGACTCACAATCAATCACTAATCAAAGCCAATCATCATCATTATTAATTTATTATTATTATAATATTATTATTATTATTATCATTTTATTTCGTTCTTGATTCATACACATGATTATTCAACAATAATTTTTTTCTAAAGTTTTCTATGAATTAAACCATGAGTCACATTTACAATGTATAATAGCAGTCTCTGTATGTCAATCACTGTCCATGCATGGTAGTTCCCTTGTTGTCAGTACCTTCATTAATTAAACTAAATGTTCGTTGCATTCATTTTCATTGTTTATTGTTTATTGTTAGTATTATTATTATTTCATCAAGTTATGTTTGACAGTTTAAGTTGAAAATTTGTACATTACACGAAACAGTTGTTTTGTACAAGTGTCAAAGAATAATTCACAGTGTATATATACACATGCATGTTGTGATCCTTCCTCACTGAAGGACCAGGTTATATCATTACTGGAGTAGCTTCAAGTATAAGCTAGGTTTATAAAATGCCTCCTCCTCCACCTCCTAAAAAGAGCTCAAAGCCGTCAGTAGTAGCAGCACTAGGACAGCAACAACCATACCCTCCATCTTTCCCTCCTCCTCCCATACAATCAACACACTTCCCTCCTCCTCTGCAGCAGCAACAGTTTGAACCCACTCCTCCTGCAGTTCCACAGCATTTTAAACCTCCTGCAATTTCAAAGCATTTTAAACCTCCTTCTCTACCAATACAAGAACCTCCTGCAGTGATTGATATACCATCAATAGTTGAGGCTCCTAAAATACCTTCAGTATTACCAGAAGCAGCTAATGTTCTTTCTGAGGTTGCTCTAGACATAACTGCAGAGGGAGCTGGTCCTGATGGTGAAGAGGACACTCCACCAGTTACTGCAAAGACTTATAGTGATGCTTTTGATGAAGAGTATGTAAGACCTAGTGTAAGTTAATCATTGTGCATTGTTATTATTATTAGTCTCTTCCACCCTCTGTTTCTCTCTCTAGCTTGATTTTGATAAGTTCATATCAGAAGAATCCAGTACTCTTACTGCTCGAAAGATAAAGATGGTTCACAAGAAACTGTACGAAAAGACAAAGTCCATTTCGTACAATTGTCTAGTGATGATTGTTGGATTCCCTTTCATTATAGTGTGGGGTTTGTTGCTAGGGATAACCTCCTTTGCAATGAACTGGGTCTACATTCCATTGCTGAAGCTTGTGAGCTGGTTACTCAATGCTACCATACCAGTCCTGACCCCACTGAGGAACTGCTGCAAACCAGTCATGGAGCTAGTCGCAATCATATGCAAACGATAGAGGACATTGTAAACTTGAGCTTTTTAGTTTGTGCACACATTTTTTGCAATTTTTTAGCGAAGAAATTGACATTAATTAAAGTGGGCGTGGTCAGTCTTGCAGCAAAGGGGAGTGGCTGGTTGCTGCAGTGCAGTGGTTGGCAATATGTCCGGTTTAACTGGTTCATCCATAAGTAGCTCCATCCCCAGCGGGTCATTAGTTAATAGAGCGTCCAAACGGTATTACTCTGTCTATATACTGATGGTCCTAATGCTGGTCTACCTCACCAGCCAAACTGATCGTTTTGTGTTGGGACTAACCAGTTACCATGTGTCACGTGATTTCAGGATAGGCCACTTGACTTGTTTTTATAATGAGTCCAATGAGAGGACCCAGTGTGGTAATAACAACTGCTCTGACTATCAAACTAATAGGGACAAGTGAGACTAATTAGTGATGGGTGGGGCTAGTTATGAATATTTAATAATCACCTTGTAAAGTGGGTGACGATTTTCA